AGGAAACACAATGTTGCCAGCCAATCAAGACAAAAAAACGCACAGACTCACAGAATACACAAGCCTGATGATGGCAGATAAGATTCTGCCGAAACGTCGCTACAACTTTAAGCACAACTATAATGGCATGGGAAAATACCCGAACAAAGCTGAATACTATATATATAAATACCTGCGAAAACTTAATATATGCGCACACACACATATAAATAACTCCTGCATCATAAGAGAACAGTGCTAGCAGAAATAAACATTTGGAGGCTATTAATTTTCATATGAGATAGTTTCCTTCAATTGTCTATCTGTTGTTTATGCTGCCAGAAGGTACTCCAACCAAATGTTTAGAGGCTTGTATTTTATAGGCATATATGGTTGAAAGGATCATATACTGACCAGGAAAGGCGTTGTGAGAAATAGCTTTCTTTCTTGTTTGTCTGATAATCTCATACCACTGAGTGATAACAGTCACCATACTTTTCCTGTAGTATGTTTGCCTGAAATAACACAGTATTTCAAATACTTGCTTTATTTCTCTGCTTCCTAGTCAAGATTGAGCTGAATATTTACCAGATAAACAGAAAGACTACATTCTTCCCTCTTTCTTCGAATCTGCCACAAATTCAAGATTCTTTATTTAATAACCTATGAACACTTCCATATATAAATATGTGGATGATTTTAAGTAACATTTAATCTTTACGTAACTTTTTTTTTGCAAGAATTACTTGGCACCGCTTTTTTTTTTTACTGTGTTCAAAATTTAATACAATTCCATTTTTTTTTGTAATGTTGTACCAATAATTCAAGTTTACAGACTTTTTTTAAAAACATATTACTTATAATAGATAATATCCAGGAAATCCAGTCCCAGATGACATTCTAATGTTGCCTATTTAAAAAAACAACAACCCTTTATGCCCAATAGCAAAGAAAGAAAAAAATGGCACCAAAAAACCAAGGGTTTGGGGAGAGTGGGGGAGAGAACCTAATTACGGTATATGTATTCAGAACCACAAAAAGATTTCCTACTGCCCAGGGTAGGAAAATATACTTCCAAGAGAAAAATGCAAGAAATTTGGATAATTGATAGCAACAGCCAAGCAAATTATTGGCTTTTTAAAGGAGAACATGAAAGTTTTTTTTTCCCTTAACATTTACTGCCTGATTCATCTGTTTATAGCCATTTATCATGGTACTTAAGCTTAAAAGTATTCTAGGATAGTATTTTTTTTTTAAAAAGTATGCTAGTAGTTTGACTCAATTTCATTCATGTAAGAAACAATGTTACTAAACAGCAAATAAGGATGAAGGCAGAAGAATAAAACATAAATCACTACAATCACATGATAGTCTATTTCTTGAGTCCTTATGACTAATAAAAATATTTGATCCATGATGAGCTTAAGGACAAAAGGTGATAGCATTACAGCAAGAAAGCAAAGGAAAAAAAGTAGTTTATTGGAATTATCCGACTGCTTACTGGGAAGGAAACAATGCAGTAAAAGCAGGCTGGTCTTGCCCTTGTTTTGTATGTCAAGAAGTGGTCCAATTAAGAAGTTAAATATAGCCACGTTATCAAGTATCTAACAAAAAGGAGCAGAACAAAACCTAGCCTTTGAGTCTAAGGATAGTAACGGGGCCTTTCCACTTTGTGTAGCTGAATGACTTCAAAGATTGGTAATAAAGGAATGACAACAACAAAGCAGTAATGGGAAAAGCCTCTGAGTTTATCGAACAGTCACACCAAGTTTCTCAAGCACACGCACTCCCTTCTCTTGATATTCTTGTCTGGTCATCCAAAAGTTGTCTTTGTCCTTCATGATGTCTGCAAGAACTGCACCACCTAGGAATACCATGTGCTTTCGACGAGGTGGATCTTCAATTCGAATCTTAAATTTCTTACAGGAAAAAAAGATACACAATATTATTGATACTCAATACGCACATTCTCCTAACAACACAAATATAATGGACCTAATTATTAAGTCCACTATATATTAAGCCATGTAAATAAATAAATGCTTGAATATTCTTTTATTACTATATAAATTACTTGAGGTGCTTTTTTGAAAAAAAGGGACAACCATGGCCTAAATGACTGAGAATCTCTACAGAAATTACTTTGGAGGCTTTTAAAATCATTGATTCACTCTATTTAGGTGATTTTTAATAAAACTTTCTCTTTAGGGTAAAGGGAACTGTGTAATGTTGTGCAAGCTGACTTCTACTTAGGCAACAGGATTTTCTATTCATTGTTCTATCTGCAACACGAATCTACTCTTGGTGATTCCACCACCCTACATGGACAGATGTGGGGAATTGAAAGGGCAGAAGATATCTGTTCCTTTGATGGTTGTGGTTTCCCCAGTTATGGACCACAACCAGATCTTATCCCAAAGATTTAGTACATTAAGAACATAGATCAAAATATATCCATTTCTATATCTACATCTACACATAAGTTTTGGATACATGCACACACACATACACTTCCCTACACTTCTTTTCAAAAATTATCCTTTAAATAAAATAATCTCTCATGTTATAATTTGTGGGTGCAACAGGTTCCAATTCTCTCAGTAACGGTGAGAAGGCTGGAACTATGCGTGGCTCTAATAAAGAAATGAAAGTAGGTCCTATAAAGCTGAAGTATACTGCCTGGTGGTAAGTAAAATGATAGGTATTTATTAACTGTGTTGATTTTGTAAGCTACAGCAGGAGTCCCTAACTTGTGGACCATGAGGGGTTTGCAATCGGGCCATAGAAACTGCCGGCACGTGCATCCTCACTTGCGCAAGCAGCGGGCAAGTATGTGCACTCCATTTAAGTATGCACAGCACACACCATCCCCTCTCCTTCCCTCCACCAATCCACAAAACTGGAAATGTTGGGGTACTCTGAGCTACAGGATATAGTAACCAAGAGCTTTTTCTAAAAGGAAAGATACTTATGTCCTAAAGGCAACATTGATCCAAAGTCCAAAAGGAAAATATTAGTTAATAAACTGAAATGTTATTTTAAGACATACAATTCCATCCTATGAACCATTAAAAGATTCATGAAAATGAATGTCAAATGATGCTATGAAGAGGAAAGAATAAACCTAGTTCTAATAAAGTGGTTACATTTAAAGATCATATTAAATATTATCATTAGTTCATATACTAGGTCTTCAAAACCTAGTATAATCCAAAGTAGTTAACGGTACATAATTATCTGATGTGGAATTTTAATAATCTCTATTCAAAGCTAACTTATTCAAAACTCACAAACTTAATTCAAGTTGTCCGCTATATTAATGACCGTCTTGCTCCCTCTAGTGACCACCTTGTGTAATAAAGAATTATTTGACGGCTGAGTACTTACTGAAAGTTTTTCCACATCACCTTTCAGAACTCGCTCCAGATAAAGCTGCTTCAGTTCACGTTCTAGGCGAGATGGTAGGCCAGGGTACATTGTGGAACCTCCAGATAATACAATGTGCTTATAAAATTCAGATCTAGAGACAGAATAGATACCTCACAGTATAAACAATCAAGGTACATCAAACAACTCCAGTACATCAAGGAATATACAGTATATTTAATTTATTTGATTTCCATAGCAACATCCCCCCCTCCATATCAGCAAGTTATTCTGAGTGGTATATATCATAAAAACAATTCAAATAAATACGTACAGTTGCCGAGTAAAACTATTGCCATGGACGTTAATATAGTCAAGAACTTGGGGCCCTTAACATTCACGGCATGCTGTACATATACAGTAAATTCTCAATTTAATGGAACCCCAGATTTAACATTATGCGCTTAGGCTGCAGGGTTCCTATAGTTGGCCTCAATTGATGTCTACATTTACTATTCATCTCTGTTGTTTTAACTTGCTAGAGAAACTAATCTGGTTCCAGGATTGGCCTGTATTGTAAGGCTGGGTCTTGTTCTGGCTCCTAGTATGTCACACTTATGGTTGACAGATTTATTTTCACAAGGCTACTGCTCAAATATCAGTGCACTGCCTTTTACTCCTAGACCTCCCCACCACCACCTTGAAGCATTTCTACCTCACTAGTTAAAACAAGCATTGAGTTTCCATAAAAAGAAAGATACACCCACTAATAAGCAGGTAGTTGCTATAATAGCCATATCCACCCCACTTCAATTCAATATCCTCTCTGTAATAGTGATAAACACCACACATATTACCATTTTCTTATAATCCGTGAACATTTTCTTTTTAAAGAATTTCCACATTCAAACAGAGCTACAAATCAGGATATGTCTTTTCTCCCATTAAATGGCTCCTGTGTGATGTGTTTTTAAAAACCCGTGATATAGTGTAAGAATTACCAACTTCCAATTTATACCTGGTATCAATATCAGCAGCTTGGATGGTGTTGAACAGCAGCTCAGCAACACCAACTCCTTCCACATTGATTAAGTGAGGCTGGAACAGGGCCTCAGGTGCCTCAAATCGCTCACCTCCAACTTTAATAATTCTGCCATCTGGGAGCTGTAAAATAGAGAGAGTCTGAAATAGCCCTATTATCATTATTTCTCCTGGACTAAACTAGGTCAAAAGCTTGCTGGGGAAATTTCTCTCTTACTACTGTAGCTGTTGGATCATGCTCCCTTTGCTATAAAGTTGATTTTGCCTATGAATGCCATAACTTTTTTTTAAAGGAAAACATTAAAAAAAAATTCAGATTCAGACAGATTATTCTTGATTAGAGACAGCATACTTCCAAATAGCAGGTGCAGGGGAATAATGGTGGCACATAGTACATTTCTAATCCTTTCTTAAACATATCTCATGGATGGTTCATTGAGAAATTTGAAAAACAAAATGCTAGATTAAGATGGGTCTTGGTCTGACACAGCAGGACTGTTTCTTACATTCTTATAAAATACAATAAATCCACTCCACAAAATCTTGCAACATAACAAAGGAACTGGAAGATACAACCTCAGAATCACTCTCAATATAATATTTGAGAAATATTGGAGTGCAGGGGAAATACTAGGAGACAGGAGAAGAGCTGCTCTTGTTCCCATCTCTAAAAAAAGGCAGAAAAAAGTAGGCCCAGGAAACTACAGACCAGTCAGTTTGTCTGGTCTCAATATCAGAGGAAATCTTAGAAAAGATAATCAAGTGGTGAGTTTGCAAGCTGTTAGGAAGAATTATTAGAAGCCCAGCAAGGGCTTGTTAAAGAAAGTTGTAACAAGTAAGTCATATTGCTGTCCTTGACAAAACAATTAGTAGATTGAGGGAATGTTGTGCATATACCATTCTTAGTTTTCAGCAAAGCATTTCACAAAATTGACTAGAGCCTCCTTCTTGTTAAAATGGTGCAACCAGATAGACTTGCAGCCAATTTCAACAAATGTATTAAGTATGTGGGCCTTGGTGGTATTGTATCAACATGATGAGACACATTTTTATGGCTCAATCCCAACCAGACTGGCTTTTTTATGGTTTTAAAAATAAGATGTTTCCTAAAGAATTGTGCTGGGTTGTTTGATAAACCATATTGGTTAGCTGCTACTGTGTATTTATTAATGATTGGTACAGTGAAAAAGATACATTAGATTTCTGGCACACTGTATATTGCTGGTTGTATTAATTGCTTTAAACTAACAAATTGAGTCGCCTGTCTGTCCATCCTGTGGTGTACCTGAAAATACTGTCCTGAGCCCAGTGCTATCTAATATTTTCATAAATGACTTACAGGAGAGGAGAAAAATTTGCAGATGACTCAAGGGGTGGGGATGAAATTGCTAACACTATAGAAAACAGACTCAAGGTTTAAAAAGATCTTAATAGATTGAACAAGAAAAGCAGGTGTGGGTACAAGATAAGTAGCTTAGCAATAATACTTGAAAGAAGGATGGCCATTCTGACACACCACAAATTAAGCATTAACCAGCAATGTGCTGCATAATGTTGAAACCATAAGAAGTGGTTGTTCTGAATATTTTGTCAAGTTCTGACCATCAAATACACAAAGACACCAAAGAACTGAAAAGGGGCAGAGAGAAACGTATAAGATGATAAGGGGTCTGGAAGTTAAATTTCATGGTCAACATTTAAAAAGACAAGAAGATAAAGCAAAGGAGTCACAATAGCAAATGGATATTTGAAGGGCTGTCACAAAGAAGAGCGAGTGGATTTATTCTCCATAACGCTAAGGGTATTATTTATTGTGTTTCTAACTAAGATAGGGATGCTGAGCATCTAAGAATGTAAGTGTAGAGTGGGTGGAAGCTTTAGGGAGGTCTAAGTTTGACATAAGGAAGAATTTCCTGACTATGAGAATTATTAAGCATCAGGACATCCTGCCTTCTACAGTTTGGGTGCTCCATTGCTGTAGGTTGGGGATGAGATGATGATTCTTGCCCTGGACATAGGATTGGTCTAGATGACTTGCAATTCCTTTTCAATTCTATAATTCAACTAAACAACTATTGTTATTAAATTATTAAAGATACTAGTTACTAGTAATGATGAACAATTACTGCTTTAGGTAGGTATTTGCTTACCTAAAGCAATAATTACCTTTCATTGCTAGCAACTACCTATAATTTTTCAATACATTTTAAAAAAAATAAAACTCATAAAATGTAATTGAGCGTGGTCATAGTTGTCAAACCATAATGTAGCCAATCTAATTAATGTTGAAGTATATCTAATTAATGTTAATGTATAATCTTTTGTATCATTTTGTTATTGTGCTTGCTCCTAACATACCATTAATGTCTGAACTGTTTTAACAGGGGCCTCAGATGTCTTAAAGTACCATCCATGTAATCCCTTGCCATATCAACTAGGGTTTATTAGAGGTGAAAAATAACAGGCCGTCTACTTTTGCATTATAAGGGAAAACTGCAAATGCTGAGTTACTCACCGTGTAGGATTCAACTAACACAGTAGTTTCCAAGGCCAATTTCTGCTCCTGTTCAATATTGTAACCCACATAGCAGAGCTTTTCTTTAATCATGCGAACAGTCTCAAAATCAGCAGAATGATTGAAGGCATACCCTCGTAGTAAAAGTAGCTAGTATTGAAGTAAAACAGTTAATGGTGGACCTGAATGAAGTAAAGCTTTCAGATTTGAGACATTTTATCTTTTATTGCAAAGGTGATAAGTTTTTATCATTTATAGCAAAAGTGACAAAGATATATTGCATGTTGATTGATAGCTGCTGCTCACATTTTATTTTGAACTCAAAACTATTATTTGAGTTCTCCATCAGACTTTAACAGAAAACATGCAAGCTGATCTGCCAATACTTCAATGTACAGAATATACTCCTGTTCTTGAAGAATGTTCCTAGACTCTTTCTTGCACATAATGTGCATTTATCACCACATATTTGCTTGACCCAGTTTTAAAACCCAAAGATTGGGACCTCACATGTATCTCTATGAATGCTTCTCTCCAGATAACTAACAAACAAATGCCTCCTGCAACAAAAACTGGACCCTCAAGACAATGCAAGGAGACCCTGCTCTAAAAATCTGTATCCAAGGCACAGCATTTACTGATAATAAAAGCACTGTTCTTTGAACAGCTTATCATGGTTAAAACCTCTTAAGAGTGGAACTTTTGGACATAATCTTTCATTTATTTTTTTATTAGGCAAAGGTTCCCCTTGCGCATACATGCTAATTGTTTCTGGCCCTAGCAGTAATTTCTTCATTACTGCTACACTATTTTGTAAGTCAATTTTTTCATTTTCGTAATTGCCTTAGTATTGTTGTAAATCACGTTAGAGTTGCAAGAGTAGCTTGGAATCCAGCAAGCTTTAGACAAGTAAACATGTTCTGGTATTCTGAATAAATGGTCAGTGCTTGTTCCTTCCTTAGGAATAATGTTACACTCTTGCTAAAAAATATTCCTTTGAGTGATTTTCTGGTCTTCCCCATTGTAAGCTTCTGATATTTCAAAACTGTAAAACTGGTAATATTTTTTTCCAAATTTAACAACTCCAACTTACTTTGATGAGATATCTTGTAATATCTCTACCCGCAATATCTAGTCTCCTGGTGAGATGAGGAAGAGAAAAGCCTTCATAGACTGGACAGATGTGAGTAACACCATCTCCAGAATCCACAACAACACCAGTTAGCAAACCTGAAGAAAAATAGCAACAACAACAAAAACCCTCATAAGGCCATTTCAATTTGATTTCAAACTTGATTCTGGAACCCAAACTGCCTTGGTCTTCCACACTGATTACTTAGGTTTAAAGTGACTCTAGTAATTTTCTTAGAATTATTAGTGGTATTTTAGCCGTAAAGGTATATTAGTTACAACATTCTGCTAGGGGGAAAATCATCTGTAATAAAGGAAGACTTTGTTTCAGTGGTTCCACTTCTACTATCACAATCAATTCTAAAAAGAGGTACTGTTCAGATATGTTTTTCATATAGAACACTATAATGTGCAGTTATTGTTTTTCCTAAAAAATATTTGGGATATTATTTTATCTTTCACGCTTCAACATTAACATTCGCAAGATGCCAATACTACATTAATTGGACTAAGCTATAGTTCTTGTTAGATTCAGGTGAAGTGATGAAAGTGATGAATTAATAAATCAGTAATAAAATGGATACAAGGCAGTAAAATCAAATTCAGTCCAGACAAGAAAAATATTCAGTTTAGAGCTGACTAAACTAGAAAGGAAGGTTTTTTTAAAAAAACAAAACAAAACTAGATTTTTATTTGGTTACACTTGTAAGCATGTAATACCATATTGTTCTGAATTTACTGCCTTATTGTTCTGATGTGTTTTCTCACTCTGCTGCACTTTGTTCCTTTTCTGGAACAAAGCACAATGCTAAAAAAAAAATCAGATACTTTTTATTCACACACATCTATCTATCTATCTATCTATCTATCTATCTATCTGCTTACTATTTTACAAAGTATATCTTAAAACAGACCAACAAACATCCATGATAACCAAATACTCATAAAAGCAAAATAAAAGCAGAAACAATAAAAATAGCAACTAAAATAATAATGAAGTAATTAAAAAAACACAGATGAATTTATACAAGAATGTATTTGGATTTACACTTTAATTTTAAGCTTTAAATGTTATTAGATCAAGCAAAATAATGTCCTTAGACAAAAATATTACCAGAAAGACTGTCTGGTTTAAGGAATTTTTATAATTTGGATTTGGTTCAAATATATTTCTTTATGGTACATTTAATTCAAAGTAAAACTTATTCTTACCTTGTGCATACAGAGTAAGAACTGCTTGAATGGCTACGTAAACCCCAGAAAACTGGTATGTTTCAAACATCACCTGAAAAGATAAAAATTGCCTTTTTGTTTGCAAAACTGAAAATTACATAGCTATGAAATATGGAAGATCATTACAAGTATTTCCTGAACAATATGGAATATAAATTGCTGTATAAACTCTCTTTTCCTAAAAGCAACATAAGAAAAAACATAATGCTTGTGTCTGAGAAGCACAATATGAATAAATACCTAGTTTCACAGGAAGTGAGTTTAATTTATTACTCAAACAGAAAAGTGAATACTTCCTTAGTTTATGCCATTCTCTTCCTCTTTTACTTTTTAGTATGCCAAAAACTACTATTGAATATATAATCTAAACATTTATTTGTCCCACATAATCCTATTACAATGTTGTTTGTTTTACTGTCCATTACCAATGGACCATTACCATTACCAATATTTAAAAGACAATATAAAAACACATCAGATATAAAACAGCAATATAAATTAACAACATAATAAAATTATACAAAAAAATACTCAAGCAATAATAGCATAAGGGAAGCACCTAATAGTTTTTACAAATCATGGCTATCGTTAAAAAATTAGCAACCTTGTTGGCTATTTAGTCACAATTGAGCCCAAAATTTCTGTTGCTAAGGAAGACAGTTCTTTTGCCCTATTTTACAACTTTTCTTGTCAGTTATTAAGTGAATCATTACAATTGTTAAGTTAGTACACGGTAAAGTGAATCTGACTTTCCCATTGACTTTGTCAGAAGGTCACAAAAGGACCCCAGAACCCTGCAACTATCATAAATACTTGCCAGTTGCCAAGTGTCCAAATTTTGAGCATGTGACCACAGGGATGCTGCAATTGTCATAAGTGTGAAAACCGGTCATAAGTCATTCATTTCAATGCTGTTGTAACTTTGAATGGTCAGTAAACAAATGGCTGTAAGTCAAGGACTACCTGTAGGTGAAATTTGATCACCTAGGAGTGTGTTGGCGAACCTTTTCGGCACAAAGTGCTGAAGCAGGAGCGCGTGCACATGGGGTAGCGCCGAAAACTGGAAGGGCCTGCTGCTCTTCCGGTTTCTGGCGCTCCCACACGCACAAATGCGTGCGCCGGAACCCAGAAGAGCAATGGGCGATGGCTGGAGTGCCCGAGAGATGGCTCTGTGTGCCACTTCCGGCATGCATGCCATAAGTTTGCCATCATGGCCCTAAGAAAAAACCAAGGAGGAGCTATTAAGATTTTTAGCAATTGTTATGATGAATTTAGTCCTCTGTTTATTGTCTAGAAAGAAGTCCAGCAATATGCATGAAACAGATTCAACTTCTGTATCAGGACATACACAAGTGCATTTTTCACAGAGTGTATTAATACAGTTGGTCCTTATGGGTAATTCAATGTTTTGGGGCAATATGAAGAATCTCTTATGTGAAGTGCGAGAAATGTTATAAAATATCAGGGAATGGAACAGGGGAGGAGGTTGCAAAGTCATAATGGAGATAGGAGATTGTATCAGTTTCAAGATACAGGATTCTCTGCTGAAAGGCAACCATGGTTTTATTAAGATCAAGACCATCACAAAAAAATTGGGGCAGAGAGGGGAAGAAGCCACAATAAGCCAGACCAAGATTCATTTGTCTTCTTAAGGAAGATTGAAACCTATCTAGTAAGATGAGGCAGATCAAAGCTATGACCCAATGAATTTACTTCAACCAGGATCTGATTGACAGGCACCCAGCCAGGCTCCTATGGATATATACCCTAATTCCAGCCAGATAAAGGAGTTCAGAGTAGAATAAGGGTCTTTTAAACTGTGGTTTGGACAGCTTCTAACCTAGAAACATACTGTATATACATAACTGTGTGTCATACAGGATATGTCCGGAAGTATAGCTTTGATTAATTTAATGGCTGCTTGTAGTATACTTGTTTTCGTAGTGAGATGCATATTTAATAGGTTCAATGGATATTGGTGAAGAAGGGGGTTTATAAAGGGGTTTATGACTCTGGACAGCTTACAAAGTTAAAACAATAAAAATAACCAAACAATAACTCCATTGAAAACAGGAAAAGACAATTCAAAAGCATATAAAACACATCATAAATATTCACAGAATTCACAGCTAAGATATTCACTCCTAGTGGAACCAATGTGTGGGCTCCATCACACTCTGAAAACTTAGTACTATAAAAAGGCTTGATTTAAATCAACTTGATTTAAATCATAATTTTTAAAGACCAACTGACATCTCTGTCTCACAGTAGCTCCTCCTCTGACCGGCTGTTGACCCACCAACAGTCCCAATATTGCAGAATATACAGCCTCATGCTATATAATTAAACTCCATTTCATGCTGAATAAACTAAATCATTAATGTATGTTAAATAGAAAACTTTCTTTAGATAGATTTTTTACTCCAAAAGCATTTTATTAAAATAAATTTGATAAAAATAAAAAAAATCTGATTTAAATAAAAAAAAATCCCTTTTTAAATTTTAAAAAAAATCATCAATTTTTAATCCACCCCGCATGCAGCATTCAACCTGTACACTCAACCTTGAAATCTGTTCCTGACCATTAACCAGGAGTGGGATTCTCCCAGTTTGGGCAAACCCCTTGTTCCGACAATCAGCTGGCTCCAAACTGGTTCGCTCCAACGAGCATGTGAGCCCCGCCTGCTCCTGCTCTTTCCTGTGCTTTATGTCTTTTTGTTAGAGCACAGCTGATTCATGCAGCAGAGCGGTTTGCCGTGCCTCAGCTGTTTTCTTCAGCTGCAGTTGAAGGTAAGTATTAGCTTTTTAAAACGCAAAGCATGCACGCGAAGTACGCATTTGGCATGCATGCAGAGCATGCGCTCACTGAACTGGTTGTTATATCGGTTGAATCGTACCCCTGCCATTAACTAACTCTGGAAAGGGTACAAGTTAACAATTGCAGAAGAAAGAAGTTAAAAACTCATTTTGTTCTGCTAATGAAATTGTTTTATCAGGATAATAATTTTATTTGTTCTGGTTATAAAGATCTTTCAGAAGTTCTCCTCTCTTCAACTTTAACTAAGGATTAAGTTGCATTAACAGAGGGATACAATCAAGATCAAGTGAGGTACTAATACCACTCTATAAAGCCTTAGTAAGATCATATCTAGAATACTGCATCCAATTTTGGTCACCACATTATAAAAAAGATGTTGAATCAGCCTCATGCTATATAACTAATCTCTACATTCTAGAAAGAATGTAGAGAAGAGCAACCAAGATGATAAGGGGACTGGAGACTAAAACATATGATGAAAGATTGCAGGAACTGGGCCTGGCTAGTCAAGTGAAGGAAAGGACCAGGGGATACATGATATCAGTGTTCCAATATTTGAGGGGCTGCCACAGAGAGGAGGGGGTCAAGCTATTTTCCAAAGTACCTGAAGGCCGGACAAGGAATAACGGATAAAAACTAAACAAGGAGAGATTCAACCTGGAAATAAGGAGAAATTTTCAGGCAGTGAGAGCGATCAACCAATGGAACAGCTTGCCTTTAAAAGTTTTGAGAACTCCATCACTGGAAGCTTTCAAGAAGAGACTGGCTTTCATCTGTCAGAAATGGTGTGGCATAGTCACATGACATATCACAACTTCTTTCCCCTTTGCTAAACTATGGGTGTGGCCAGCTTGTGATGCATCAGGCTCGCGGGCCATGAGTTTGACAGCCCTGGTCCTCTGCTTGGTCAGGGAGTTGGAGAAGATGACCTACAAGGTCCCTTTCAACTCTGTTAATCGGTTAAAATTACTAAAATCCATTTCCCTCTGAGCTTCAAATTCAGGAACTATTATTAATGTGTAATTCTTTCTATTCTATTTCTGACTATTTTCTGAAACTCTGTAAAATGAGTAATTAAAGTCAAATTGTACTGTTTTCCAACACACTCCTTAGTCTTCAACCAATGCATGGAAACCAGAATCAATAGAGATAACAAAAATTACTGCAAATTTAATATGTTTAATTTACTACCCATAATATATTACCATATGCCATTTAATTGTGAAACCAAAATATATTGTTCTTAAAACACAGTATTGAGATGTGATCCTGAAGAGATAGACAGACAGACAGACACACACTCAACGTAAGTAAAAATGTGTCATTGCCATAAGCTAAACCCTCCAACAAGTAATTTTTCTACATTCACTGCATTAACAAAAATGATTACATTTCACCTGTGTAATAGAAATTTAGCGCTGAGAGGACATTTCATTTGTTGATAGGATCTTCTCCTCTAAGCAAGAATTATAAGATCTCAGGCCAAATTCTCAACTGAGCCAGAACATTCAACTTCCAGTTTTTGAGTAGAACATCAGATCACAAAGTATTGTTCTACTTGGAAGTAAGCCTATTAAATTTGATGTGCTTTTCTTTCAAGTTCTTTTTTTTTTTTACAAGGAAGTTTATTATGTGATTTCTAGGTCAACCTTTACTCAGTCCTTACCCCTTTCTCAATTTGTTTACCATACAAAGTAGTATTATAAGCACTCAGGATTTCAAAGCTCTAATTCTGTGAATTGGATTATGTCTCTGATTATTAGAATGTCCACTTACATGTTTTAACAGTATTATTAAAAATATTTGCAAGTATGTAAGATGATTTTATTTTAGAAAAAAGTACAGGTGGTCCTTGAATTACTAATGTAATGGAGCCTGCCAACTACATTCGTAACCCAAGGATTCATAGGAGTAAATGGCGTAACTTGACCGCGATAACTCTGTCCTTTTGCCCACGCTAATCAAATGTGTGGGTTGTTAAGTACATGAGGTATTTCAGGGTGGGAAAGGCCATTGGGGGCTTACCTGCATCAGAACACCCAAGGTCTCCCCTGACCCACGGATACCTCAAGCAGTTGCTTCCCCCTCCCTCATCCTGCCATGCCACTTACCTTTCAAGTATCTAGCAAGCTGCCTCCTCTCCAGAGTCTCTGTTTCTTTGCCTGCCCCCGGCCAGAGCAAAAGGAGAGCAGGACCAGCATGTCCTGCTCGCTTCTCTTACTCACCGAGGCTGCCTGCCACTTCTGGAGACAGCAAACTTCATCTGTGTGCAAATGGGGCACTTGGAAATGGAATGATTTGCTTCGTTTCCAAGCACCCCACAGGTGCTCAAGTAATTTTCACCCAGAGACCTGATGGAGACTGGAAATTTCTGAGGGCCCTGGTAACGTGTGACTTCAGGCACCCATCCACTTTTGCAGAGAATGGGCGCCTGAAGTCCCACAAGATCAGGGCATCCAGAAGCTTCCAGTCTTCAGGGAGAAAGTGTTTACACGCCAATGACAGGCTTGAAGCAGAGCAAGTTCACTGCCCCAAAGCCTCACTTCGGCATGCAAATGCTTTTTCGCGCCGAGCCTGGAAGCCTTTGGAGGAGACTCACCAAGGCTGCCCACCGCTCCACAAGTGGCAGGCAGCTTCGGTGAGTGAGAAAAACCGAGCAGGGCACGTTCATCCTGCTCTCCCTCTACTCTTGCCAGGTGCAGGCAAAGATACAGAGACGATGGAGGGCAAAACAGCTTGCTAGATCTTCAAAAGGTAAGTCTCCACGGGGGGCGGGGGGGGGAGGAGAGGGAATAGGCAGGATGAATGTTGCAGTGATTCTGTGGTCATTCACAAGGGTGAACGACTTTGTAGGTACTCCAACATTTGTAACTTCGGGACTGGGTCGTAAGTACTGGGGGGGGTGCTATGTCATAACTTTGAACGGTTGCTAAATGAACTGTCATAACTCGGGGATTACCTGTATGCATAACTTCACTGAAAAAGCATTCTACGGAACTTTACTTCTACAGTACTGCTTTTTAAATATTTTCTGAATATAGATCTAATCTGATCTTGGATAAAAAGTCAACTTGGCTCTTCTTCGTGAAACTAAATAAAAGTTATCCTGAAGAATCAGTAAGGTCAGAAAAGCTGCTTTCTATTAAGAAAAACTAATTCTAAATTGGATAGCAAGACTTTTTTTTTTTTTAAAGGGCACCTACCTCCACAATCTTTTCTCTGTTCTTCGTTGGATTCATAGGAGGCTCTGTCAGAAGAATTTTACAGTTTTTTGTATCAATGTTGAGTTTTTCTGGTCCAAACGTGTAGTCCCAAAGATGTTTCATATCATCCCAGTTTCGGACAATGCCATTCTCCATGGGGTAATTAACTTCCAGCATTGATCTCAGTTCACTTGCTTCATCCCCAACCATAAGATCCTACAAGTTGCAAATGGATACTAATTATTTTCTATAAACTTTTATTGAATATATATATTTTTAAAAGAATCCCCTCCAAAGAAATGGCTTTTCTAGTTATCCTTTATAACATTTGAGGGGGAGAAATTGATTTATATACTCAACTGAAGAACATAAAAAGGCATTAATAAAGGGGGAAAATGCAACTAACATTCTTTAAATAGTTATGTCCATATACATTTCATGGATTTGATTCATGTTCATGCAGGTAAGTTTATGTCACCTGAGACTGATTTTAAATATTGTTAACATTATATACCATACCAACTACCATTGAAGCCTCAGGTATATTAGGGTTCTAGATTTTGTTACCTTCAGCGTTACTTTATCATAAAAATATACATAAGTTCTTGAAATTCTACACAAGAGAATAGGTGAACCTAGCAGAAAAATTTTTCCATGCATGTTTCATGTTTCTATGCACATTACTAAATGGGAATAACGAGTGCTGCATAAGCATAGAGAACAAGTAGCAAAAGCAAATAAGGGGCTGCAAATTTCACACTGATTAGAAAAAAATGGATGTTTTATATTAGTCTACAGCAACAAATTGGTATCTGAGAGCCATTTATTCCAAACCTGGGTTACTGTTCTCCTGCACAAAAATATGAACTTCACTCCTAAGTTTAAATACTATCAAATGATTCAGGAGTCCTATCAAATTACACAATAGTTTCTTCTATAAAATAATGATGAAGCCCCAATATTATTTTTTGTCCCATTCCATCATTATCCTAATTAATATATTAGTTTATTAAAAATAAATATATTTCATAAGGAACCATTAAATTTGACTTCAGGCTTTGAAGTTAATATTCCACATAAATGGAAGCAGATGTTAAATATCTTCTAACAAAAAATGAAGAATTAACATTCAGTGACTAAACAGCACAATGCCTGAATCATTGGGGTATCCTAAAGACTGACAATATACAGAATTGTCAATTAGCTTTTAGCAATGTCATTTTCTTAGGGTTGTAATGCCAAATTAATTTTTAATTGAACTGCAACAGTTTATTTACTGTAAAAATGTGAATACAGCCCTTTCTAATTTAAGGCAGTTCACCCTATAATAGATCAAAATTTTTAGATGTAATTAAACAGCCTGTCAAAATCATTCATTAATCCAAGCAAAATTGTTTGTTTCAGAAATATTCCAGATTGGACTGAAAAATTTCATCATCACTACACTAGTTTCATAACACTGCTTTAAAATATTAATGTTTAACCATATACAACACTCATTCACTTAACCCAAGCTTTTAGTGCATGCTTCAGACATGAATTGCTTAAAACTGAATCTCAGAAGCATGAACAAACGTTACTGAATTGTACATTCAGTTTAAAAAGGTATAAATAAGAATCACCTATGTGGGAATGTAACAATACAGAACATACTTAGGGTAGGTTCACACATATAAACCAAGTGCTTTTCCCATCCTGTTGTAAGAATTTTTGAAAATAGGACTTTGTAGAAAAGTATATGATGACTTCTTTTGTTTTTATACAGATGCATGTTTCCGTAATTATTTTAGCTATACTTTAAGGAACAACTATTAATTGTCATTGCACTAATAAATTCATTTATGAATAAATATACCTATTTCACTAATGTGAAACTCAGATATGATCTAGGCATGAAGATTACAATAGAAGACTTTACAGAGAAAAAAAGGCCAGTTTCTATGTGTGAACTATCCTATTTGTTCTAATGATCCCATAGAATAGGTCTTGCCCATACATTAAGTAATGTGTGGGTATTTGCTGTATGTTTCATTTCTGTTGAGTTCAATAAGTGATTTCTAGCATAGGTACTAAACACATACAGACCTGTAGATGCCTTGCATCTGCAGTTAATTACAAATATCTACAAGAATTTGATGTACTAGCTACCAAATCAAAATGATGAAGAAAGGCTGAAATAGGAATGTATTCAAAACATAAAAGTAGACAGGACAAAGGAAAAAAAAAAAGCACACAGAGAGAGAGAAAGAGAGTGAGAGAGAGAGAGAGAAAGGCTACAAGTCCCATGAAGCAAAAGAGTGGATGATAGTACAGGGGCGCCTCACTTACCATCTTTTTGTTATTCTACTTCAACAGGTCAAGAAAGATGAAGAAAAGGCAGAAGCAAGAGAATCAGAAGAGGCCCTGGTGAAACCTTTATCCAAATTATTTCAAGTATACATAACAGAAACAAAGCAGAAAAACAGATGCAGAGATAGGTGGAAATGCTTTGAATATAACATACTTCAAGGTAAGTGACAGAAAGGCTACTGTTAAAAAAACCCAAACTAAACAAAACACCAAAAAAAAGTTATTTCCATGCATACAGTGGCAAATGGTTTTACCAAAAACGCTCTACAGATATCCCCATATATCAGCAAATTTGCTAAGAATGAACTTCTCCCATGCTAATCTCAACGAAAACATCTTAACCAAGTATAAATCTATTCAGGAACTCACAATAAATTCAGCATATTCATTATCTTGCTCACTGTAGACGTGAACATATTTTGATAGACAAGCAAATAAGAAACCAGCATTTTCAGTTGCTCTGTATTCCCTCAGTTTAAGAATCCTGCCTCCTATCACTGAGGGAAACTGTATATTTTGAATCTTGATATCAATATGACTATTGAAACCAATATAGTTTGATTTCTATATTTTAGCATATTTCAATAAAACAACCACCACCATGTCTGCCAATAAGAAGAAATAAAGCTCTACTTTAGTAAAATTGGTTTATTTTAATTTAGAATACACCAGTTTTACTAAACAGCTTGGCAAATATTTAGAATACGAAAAATATTTTGAGATATCTTATCTGGAATACTTTCAATGGCCTTGGCAATTTCCCTGTAAGTTTTCTATTTTAATGTTTTTTTTTTAATATATTGCAAAAACTCAATATTCAAAATATATGACAAGAATATCACCATACTTCCAGGCTTCATGAATAAAATGTCACATTGCTCTAAAATATATCATACTTTGACTTAGTTTGACAAAAAGTGTGTCCCAATTTGCATTTATATTAGCAATAACAACAATAGTTTTCTACATTTGCTAACATACTCATAGGCCAATATTTGCATATTAGCACCTATCTTCCTATTCATGTAATTTTATTTAATTTCTCAAATTCCTTCTAGCCTCCAAGAAACAACAAAGTTTAAAAAGCCACTGCAACAAATTATGTAAAAACATATGCTTTAATCTTTTTTACTTGAACATTTCTTGCATATTTCATATACTACACATATATCTGACTTGGGAAAAACTACTTTCAACAAAGAAAATGAATAATGTATGATATAAGGTAAGTCTAGACTATCTATTCTTTAGAATATATTTAAACAGACCTAACATTTAGTTGAGAATTACTGGTAGTCCTTGACTTATATCACAATTAAGCCCAAAATTACTGTTTCTAAGCAAGGCAGATGTTTTGCCCCATTTACAATCTTTCTTGCCATAGTCATTAAGTGAATCACTTAAGTTAGTAACACTGTTGTTAAATTAATCCAGTTCCCCTCATTGATCTTGCTTGTCAGACGGTCACAAAAGGTGATGACATGATCTTGGGACAGTGCAACTATCATAAATACATGCCAGGTGCCAAGCAGCCAACTTTTGATTATGTGACCATGGGAATGCTGCAATGATTGTGTGAAAAATGGGCACTTCTTTCAGTGCCACTGTAACTTCAAACAGTCTCTAAATGAATGGCCACAAGTCAAAGACTACACGTACATACAATGGTTCAAAATAATATCCTTAATTATATTAACTTGTGCACAGGATTTAGGGCATTATAAACTTCTCTCTTTATAGGGTCTTTGGGCTCAAAACCAATTATTACCAAAGAAATCATACAATTTGTCCAGGACTGATTCTGTAAAATGCCAGTATTTAACCAAATCCTAAAATATAGAAGTCAAAGGCAAACAGTATTGGTTTGCTTTTCCCCATTGCTTCTTCAATTTTTCAGCAGAATCATAATTTAATCATTCTGACTCAGTTGCTCTTGAAAATCATTTAAGACTTCCTCATATAAATTTATAAAACTGTTAGTTTGATGTTACATTCCGAAGGACATTCTATTGACAATGTAAGGGAGATGCCTAATGGATCTGACGTTTTATTAACATACAAACTCTTCAGCATTACAAATGCTATAAAATTTTCTGGGCAGCTTTCAGGTCCCAACATTTCATTAAAGTGAGATAAATGAGATTTTAATCTTCGCACTCTTTAACAACCTCTTAAACATGCATTTTTAATCATTATCTATCTTAACACCTCCAGTGTTAAGAGCAAATTTATCAAGTCTAGTGATATAGTTATTTAATCCAAAACAATAAAAACTCCATGACGTAAGAAAAACCAGGTGCTGCTACACAATTTCTTTGTTGACAATCTTCCGCTCAACTGTTTTCAATACCTAACTTTGGAAAAGGCTAATAAGAAACCTACACCTGGCAGTCCTAATCTAATCTGCCGTGCTCTGAGAAACCACCAGACATAATTGTTAGAAAGTGGGAAGACTTGTTTAAAAAATACTAATTAACTGCTATTTTAGTTTGTAAGGTAGTCAAAACATCAAACATCCTTCCCTGTGTCTATTGGTTTTTTTAATTTCCAAGCCCACTTTGCCTATCTGGGGATGAACAGAAATGAGAACTGTACATTACGCTATTTCTAAGAGGCTATAAAGTAGCCAAAATAGGAGAAAGAACACACATTTAGACTCCAAAATAGCATACCAGATAGGAAGCTCTTAAATAGCAAGAGAATGGGACAAATTACTTATTACAAAAAAAAAAGCAACACTATGTTTTCTTTTTTTTAATTCTATCAAAAGCAAAGGATTGCAATGGCTATGCTATTAGGATATAAACTGGCTAGAAGCCCTCCTAATTAATTAAATAGCAACTTTTGAGGTACCATCCCCAATGGCAAAGGTTTTAGTATTATGCTGTTTTAGAATGCAAGAGAAATTCCAGATTTGACTCGGTTTATATACTCAAATTGCTAGGGGACATGAAAGAAGCCTCCCCAAATCAGGTGTCCCCCGAGCAAATGTTGTTACCAGCAAATCCTTTTCATCTAGAAGCCCATTAACTTAGTAGGTATTTCTGACACAAATAAGAGAGATTCAAATTGCCTGTTGCCAAAGCTTAACTACCTCCATGTGCTAGCTGAAAGGCAGGCTTTAAACCAAGCCCTGCAGATTCAATGTGCTTCAATATGTTTCACCATAGCCTCTTTTTAAACCGATAGTTATTTCCCCTTCCCTGAAGTTGTACTTGCTTAGAGTCCACTCACCACACCTCAACAGTCTCAGTTTTGCAATCTGAGTATAGCACTTTCACTATGCCTCCTGAGATTTCAAGATGCTCCCCTCACATCTTGATAGTAAGATAAAACCATTTTTTAAATGTTATTTTAGGGATTTATTATGGGGAGAACACATCCTATTCAAATGAAGCAGCCATCGGGAAGCTCTGCGGGAGAAGGAATATTTTACCTACCACAAAATAAATGAATTCTGCGTGGTAGAGGCTCCAAACATGGAACAAAGATAACATACAAACGTTTCTCCTGGTGTTGTAGAGAAGCAAAAACAATTTTTTAGCCCAGAACAAAATCACAACTTTAATAATATGGAGACAGGTACAGAGCACACAAGTCAAGAGAAGTTTGGAGAAGGAAAAAACAAAAAATCTGTTTTGCATTGCTTCAATCTACAATATAATTCAACTAATTTCTTGTTCCTATGGAATAGTCTATTTGTCAAGCTAACAATCAGAAGGTGTGATATTCTCTTATCGACTTGTCTCTCACAGAACAAAGTGGAAGAGGCTACAGAACCTAAACTGTATTTATTTATTTGGGCTTATCGGCCATTTCAGTTATGATCAACTCTAATTCTCTTAAAAGAGGAATATGAAGTTTTTGCTTTTGCCATATTCTTTAGTTTTTGAAGCAGAAATACATTCCATGTATTTAATCCATCAGGTAACAGACTGGAATGGAGTTCAGAGTATACCTTATAAAGAAAAGTGAGGGAGCTAATATTGGTAAAACATCTCATGACATACATAAACAAACAATACCAAAGGGTTTCTTTTTTATTTCACTCAAGAAAAATAACAAGTGGTTAGAGGAAACACCCAGCGGGACAAAAAAGCCACATCCTATATTTTTTTCTATCAATATGCTAATGCTTTTTGCAAACTTATAACATTCCCTAGTTACTTGATTATCACATGTCTCAGAAGCAATTATTCCAAGGAAGGGAGAAATACCACAAATTACCATGCAAGGAATCAAGTTTCTTAAGTATTACCTTGATTTCAATGTTCCCCACTTTAGCAGTTGAACGAATGATCGGTCTTCCAACCAATGCAGGGAAGATATGTTCTGGAAAATTGGATCCTGCATATCCACATTTCACAAACTATAAAGGAAAAAAACCCTTCATGTTAGCTTTCGGATATGTCATTCTATAATTTTATCAAACACTTTAAAGATCATTGGATGTATCATTTAATAACTTTTGAAACTCTTTTGCACCCATATTCTTTTTTATGACAGGAAATAGCTGAAATTATGAAAACACACATATACACTCTATAGGGTACACATGATTAAATATACCCAAGCCATTATCTGAACTATAACTAAATTTCTCTAGATTTTAAATTTATGCCAACACTTCTCTCTCTCTCTCTCTTCCTTCCTTCCTTCCTTCATTCTCTCTCTCTTCATTCATTCATTCATAGCAAGATCAGGAAGTTTTTATTATTCTAGTCACTGGCTAGTGACCACTGTTAAACAGCAAAGCTTTCCAATATTTAGAAATGGGGTGGGGCATCATATTCTTGGTATGCAAACACAAGTAAAAATCTGCAACTTTGGCTATCATTAAAATGTTTAGATATACAAAGAGGCTTAAAGGCAGGCATCCTTAATTTGCAAAATTTACACAGCTTAACACATCAGATATTTTATGCCATTAACACTCCTGGCATAAAAAAATATGTTGAAAGTTTGAAAGCCAAGTTTGATTTGCAGCACTACAAACATTGGTAGAGGCCCATTGACCAAGGTTCCCAAATTCATTATCTGCTGATGCATAATAAGCACCATAAAGGCATATATTTCATAGAAAAGTATGAGGGCTGGAAGGGATCACTTAGTCCAACCTACTGTGCAGTGTAAGAATCTACAACTGCAGCAACCCAAGACACAGCCATCTAGCCTTTGTTTAAACACTTCCAGAGAGAACCCACCATCTTCCAAAGTCTTCCTGATAGCCAACTAAAATCTACTTCCTTGTAATGTAAAGCCATCATTTCAAACCCTGTCTCCTTGTTCTGAAAAACTCTTAAACAATTCTGGCTGCCTTCTACACAAAACCCTTCAGATATTGGAAGACAGTTAATATGTTTCCTTGTAAGTTTCTTTTTTGTAACCTAACCATAACTAATACTGCCACCCCCTTCTCAAGTTACTTGTACATTTTTCTTCTTGGGACACTGAAGTTTTTCAGTATCTTTTCTAACTTGTGGTGCCAGAATTGGATACAATAGTCTACAGGTGATCTGACCAATGGAGAACAGAAACAAACAATGACTTGATCTTCACACTACACTCTCACCTCCTTTACCAACTAAGTTTCATTCCCTAAATCGGAAGCAAAAGGCCACGAAGTGAAAATAGGCCACTTAGTGATCATAAGCAAACCACAGAACTAAGAGAAAGACTTTGCAAAGTTCACTAGTTACTACTGTCTCATTTAGATGAAGTTCTTTCCTGCAGCAACATCATCATTACTTTCACCTGGGTGTGTGTTGCTGGGAGATGTAAAAATTTGGTTAAGAGCACCAGTGGTTGGAAAGTGATTTTTTTTTTTAAAAAAAATTATCATTGAATTTGCAAATTCATGAGAAATGGCTCTAGACTTCTGCTAATGCAATGTAGGAAACTTCCTTCCTTTCTTCCCTCCCTCATTCCTGCGTCATCCTAGTCCTGACTTGTGCCACAAGATGCCAAATCTATATGTACTACTCCCTAGTGTACTTTCCTCCACAATGTACACTTATGCCTTTGGCTTTTCCTACTCAAATGTAGCACTTTGTATTGGCCCAACTGAAAATTTATGTTCAACAAGGCAGAGATAAACTTGGTGAAAAAAAATGCAAGAATCCTTAGTAGGTAACTATAAAAGAGATGCTAAATTACATCTCAGCCTTTGGAAAGATGTCAGCTGAAAAAAAGATTTAAACTAACACTACTTTAATCCTATGTGGCAAGTAGGGGGCAGAGATAAATTCCGGCAGCTTTTCAAAATTCATGATTTCAGGGTTCACACTGATATTACACAGTTGGTCAATGAAATCTGCAAGCAAACAAACAAGCTCAGAGAGTACCATATACATTTCAAGATTCTTATTTTTATTTAACATTGCCTACAAAAATAAGAGTTCTAATCATCCTTGTGATATTTCTTAACCCAGTAATCTGAAGGGGCTGAGAGTAAGAGAATAAGTAAATAAAATAAAGCTCATTTAGTTGGTTTCTGCCCCTTGCTCCATCTTAACAGGTCCCAAATTTTGATACAAGTAGTGCTCAACTTATAATCACTTGTATAGTGACCATTCAAAAAACTGAAAAAAGTTGACTTATGCCTATTTTCATACTTCTGACCATTGCGGCCACTTCATGGTCATGTATTCAAAATTCAGAGGCTTGGCAAATGAATTTTTGCCATATTTATGAGTGCTGCAGTGTCCCAGGATCAACCGAGAAGCCAGATTCACTTAACCATGTTACTATCTTAACTGCAGTGATTCACGTAACAATTGTGGCAAGAAAGGTTGTAAAATGAGGCAAAGTTCACTTAACTGTCCTGCTTAGCAACATAAATTTTGGGCTCAATTCTGGTTGTAAGTTGAGGGCTATCTATATTGTTCTCCTAGATGCCTGCTATCCTTCTCAAAGTTTCTCTCATCTGCAATTGTATTTTTCCCCTTTTATCCAATTGATTTATAATGAAAAATTGAACAGCGTGGATCCTAAATGGGAGTCCTTCAGTATGCCACTGAACACATCACATAAGGCCATTAGTACCTATTTGGGGAGAAATGTATTCAATTGGTTCTGTATTCATTTTATGGAAAATGCAATAGATGTTCCACCTGATCAAGATCTGAACAGGAAGAAACCAAACTAAGATGGAGTAGTTGTTAATTCAGAAGTTACCGACTCCAGGACTATAGCATCTCAGTTTACACAAGACTTGACCCTTGATTGGGGTTCTGTTTCTTCAGATACAGCAGGTTACCAATTTGAAGGTCCTCCTGGACTCACATCTCCTGTTAAGAGGAGCAGGCAAAGGCCGTGTTCTTTATGCAGCTTTGGCTGGTATATCAGTTGTGACCTTACCTGAAATAGAAACTACTGAAGACAGTCACCCACACCCTTGTCATATATTAGGTCTGGGAATTACTAATCAGAGCATCTTTTTAAGAGATATTGTTCCTATGCTGGCCTTTACCCAAATGATTACAGCATTCAACCACTGATCAGACACAATTAAACTGTAAAATAGTGGGGAACAGAACTAGGTAGAGCACACTGATGCAAAGTGACACAAGAATAAACTGTTGTTTAAGTAAAGGGTGAAACCTAAATAGAATGAAATAATAAATTCTTTACAAATATTTTATTTTAGAAAAATCTATATTTACGCTGTCTTCTATACCTTTTGATATTGATAACATTGCATTTTATTACAAATAAAATGCATATGCCTTTTTTATAATCCCACAACACTTGCATATAAATGACTATTGTCTGAATATAACTGTTTTAATTAAAAATGAAGAACACAGATAAAATTTTGAAGTGGAAGCTTTCCGTAATTTTTCTTTTCACAATGTGGGAAAAACTTCTAAGTGGTTGCTAAGGTTCACTATCAACTTGATGTCACATAATAAATCCAAATTAATACATTCCCATAAAAACATTTTCAATTTGCATTGCAAAATATTCTATTTCTTAAAGATCTTCTAAACAGTAAAATATGCATAATGACTAAATTAAGACAATATAAACAGGGCTGTCACACTGGCAGCCTGCAAGCAGGCCATGCCCACCCCAGCTCTGCAAATGGGGAAAACATCTTGAAATGTCACGTGACAGCAACGTGACGCCACAAGTTTGACACCATGATATACAATATGGTTAGAAAACATTAAATTTTTACCTGCAAACAATTATTTTGTTTGTGCAATATTAGCCAAGTTTGATGGATGCAAACTTTAAAAATATTCAAAATCAGAAATATTAAATATTAATTTCAATCTATTAAGTTTGATTATTTTTTCAATTGGCACCTGTTTGGACCTATCAAATTAATTTATTAAACAAAATACATCTACCATGTTTCTGATATAATAAGGCCAGGTCTTATTGTTTTTTGAGCCCCGAAAAAATGGCTAGGCCGTCGGGGGTGACTTAATTCCCCTCCCCCTTGCATCTTTGGGTGGGCAGGCAGCAACGGCTTGGATGTTGACCTCAGCGTTGGTGGGGCACTTCGTATCGGGGTCAACGCAGGCAGCATCATATCCGGGTGTGCAACAAAATTACTTCCGAATGGCAAGCCCCCCCCCACCATTCCCTCCCATTTTGCATATTTTAATATAGGCCTTAAATTTGTGAGGAGGGGCTTAATTTCATTTCATGCCTATAAAACATGCTGGGACTTCCTATTAGGGGAGGCCGTACTGTTGGAGAAACAGGGTAGCTTGTATAAACATTCATATCACTGTTGAATAATCCTATTTCTCTTATATGCAAAGCAAAGCAAAACAAACTATTCATACATTGTCTCAGTGAAATTAGAATCATCCCAAACATATCACAATAAGTGTATATGATATAAAAACAATGAAAACTGTTTTTTATAGACTATGCTGATTTTTTTTTAGAATGAACAAAACCTTTACATTTCCAACCTAACAAGAGAGGGTTTCAGAAAAGGCAAAGGCACAAATCCAAAATACAATGTAACCAACAGAGAATCAACATGTGCTGCAAGAAGAATTAAAAAACCAATCCTGGTTCAACAAAAGTTGTGATTATCAATACAAAAGTTTATATTCTGGACATGCGACAAAACTGTGCGTACTAGAAAAACTAGTGACTCTGCTTGGCAAGGTTGAAGGAAAGTAGATAGGGAAGAAAGAAAATGAACTCATCCTCCGAAGTGAAGATGACTTCAATGTGCTACTTCTTTATTTAGTGTATTTGGATGTGTGTTTAAAATCCTTTTATGTTTTTTTTTCAGCATACTTTTAAAAGGGACCCTTGGTTTTTGACAAGTTCAGTTTCAAATTTTAAAAAAGGCTTGAAAATCCGCACTCAATGAAAACGTAGCTTGAGTAACAGACTACAAACATTTGAAGGTGGGGGGGGGGAGCTGTCATGCCACACACTTTTTTCGTCTTTTCCTCCTCCCCAAAAGCTAAATCCTAGCGATGCGGGGCTCTCTGTTGCGGCTTCCGGTGCATGCAAACCAGCCCATTTGAAGGAAGAAGAAAGATCAAACCATACCACACACACACACACACACACACACACACACACACACACACAGGAAATTGTTCTGCTCGGGGTTGTGAGGAGGAGCAGGAAGGAAAGGCGCCACGGCGAGGTTATAGGCAGAGCTAAACTGGCTGAAAGGGAGAAATGTGTCTTCAGTTCATATAACCGGGGTTGCAGAGGCTGACGGCAAAAATAACAGAAAAGCGGGGGAGAGAGAACTAATCCTTCTGACCGGCCTTCACGTCCCTGGGCCGGTTAGAGGGAACAAGACAAACCCGAAGGCGCCCCCGCATCTTTTGGGAGGCAGGGCGCTGGGAAAGGAAGCAGGTTTTCCTGCCAGCGCCCTAAAAGAGCTGCTGCTGCAGCTTCCTTGAGAAGGAGGAAGGCGAGGCGCAGCCCTACTTCTCTCCGCCCAGGAGGAGAGACCTGTTTGCCGTTGGTGGTGGTGGTGGTGCTGCTGCCGCCAGGCCCACGAAGGGTCTTCCCCATTCACCCACCCACCTTCTACCGAAACCGGCCATCCCCGGAAAGGCTTTCCTCACCCCGGTGCCGTTGTCGCAGACGACTACTTTCCTGCCGAGCGCGTCCATTTTCCTTCCTCCGCCGACCGAGAGAATGACTGAAGTGAATGACAGCGGATGATGTCCCGTGCCCGCCCGCAGCTCCACCAGGCCTTCGCTCGTTCTCTCGAGCCGGAAGGGAAGCAGAAGGAAACAGGCGCCGACCACGCCCGGCCGTGACCCGCCCTCGCCATTCAACCCCCAGATACGACGAGGCCTGCCGCCGCCGCCGCCCACCCACTCCCTTCACCGTGACTGACAGGCTCTGGGACGTCCAATCAGAGACACGGTTTCCCCCGGGCGTCCATATTTGTGCCTATCGTTCTCCCTGCCGGGGCGTTTTCTTGGCAGTTGCTTCCCCATTCCATTCGTCTGTTGCCAGGGCGGCGATGCTGGAACTTGGGCCTGTTCCTAAAGCAGTCGCTGCTTTAGAGAACTGTAGCGGCTAACGGCTTCAATCAGAATAGAGCTGTAACTTGTAAGGGACCTTGGAGGTCTTCTAGTCCAGCCTCCTGCTCAAGCCTACTGAGGCAGAAATGTCAAATAAGCATGTCAAAATCTTCTGTCTATCTATAAATACCACTCATGCATCATCACACAATCTCCAGAACCATGAAGCCTACAAACTTGAAATTTGGCAGTATGTTCCTCTTGGCCTCTAGGTGCTCACTAAGAATGGATTTTTCGAAATGACCATGGGAGCATTAGTATTCCGTATATTAATAATACGTTCTGATGCTCAGGAGTTCTACTCCCCCTCCCCACCTGCAAAACACAATCAAAGGAGAGGGGTTTCAGTTTTAGTTTCACAGCAGCAAGCAGCTTTAGTCCAGAACAGTTGAGCTAAGCCTTGCCCAGGCTCCTTGCTGTCTCCTTGATCACACAGCAAATACTGCTTCACTTTCCAAATAGCCCTCAACTCTCTCACACACTGACAGGACGCCAGCCAGATGAATACCGATGGATGCTGCTAAGCAGAGGCAGAATTTTTTTCTCCTTATTTCCCTCCCCCAAAACTAAGCCCAACCACATAGTTTCATAGCGAAGCACGGGTATCGAGCTGGTGTACCTATAATTATTTCCATTGCTGCATTCTGCACCCCTGTAGCTGAATGATCTTCAAGGGCAAACCCTTGTGGAGTAGCTGCAATAAACTAAATGGGCACTCACCACGGTGTATAATACTCCCTTATCCAATATGCATTAGCAGTAATGTTTTTATCTCCCTTTCCATTCAAAGCTCTAATCTGTGTTCAATAAACCTAAGTATTACTTTGCCAGCACATTGTTTAGTTTATTTAGTTGATTTATTTTTGTCAATTGCTTACAAGATAATAGGTATAAGTAAAAACATAGTTATGAATACATGGATACGTATAAAAATAAATAAATAAAAGAAACAATAGGACAGGGATGGTAGGCACGTTGGTGCGCTTATGCACGCCCCTATCTCTTATCCCAACCCACTTCACAAAATTCTTTTGGGAAAAATAGGAGAAGGAAGGAGTATTAGATAAGATCAGCGCTTTGAGTTATTTATAAAAATAAACACAGGATGAAAATATAAATAATTGTAGTTTGCCTATTGTACTGTCTCCTTTCTTTTGTATTAGTATGAAAACTGACTTCCTTCAATCTGTTGGTCACTATGCCATCCTGGAGATTTGCTGGCACAATTTGCCATTGGAACCTTTACAGATTATTCTTCTGTTTGCCATATTTCTATAAATATTTAATCAGTTTCTATAGCCTTCTGACTGGAATTCTGAGCTAACTTCATATTCTAGGACTATTTTCATTTGATCTTTTTGGAATCATCAATACTTTTTCATTGGCATCCTATAATGTAACCAATCAAAGTTTAAACTACCTTTTGAGTGCAGAAAACTTTTGGAAAACTTCTTTTTATTTGTATCTTTGGTATCTATCAATGCCACTGTATTTCTGCTTTTTGTTTCTTTTAACAGTTCTCTGAAATTATTCATTAAATTCCTTCCTGTGATCTTTACTTGTTAAAGATTTTTACAAGAATAAAAGATGAACATGAAAAAATATATGGAGCTTTTAAAAGAAGATAGATAAAAGAAAAATAACAAACTGGAATGTTAAAATAAACAGAAAGCAGTAACTCTTCTAAGGAGAAGAGTTGTTTCCTATATTGTAAGGACTGCCCTATCTTGGTTTCAAAAGTTTGAACAATCATTGGATGGCAGAAAGAAAGATGGGAAATTGATTTTTGTAACTGATGTAGTTGCCTTCCTATTGCTGTATTACTATAAGATAGAAAAATGTGACTTGGATCCATAGCTATAAATACAACACACAGTTTAGTTAAATATGTTGAGTTACTTGTCTGCCTTTGTTTTAATCATTTTGGGATTTTTCTTTCAATATTAATTCCCATCTGAATTGAGCTATTATCTTAGCTGGTCATAAAATGATACTTCACACCTGTAATTTGAAAACTAGATTTTTAGAATGGTTTCAGATCTTATTTTTGAAGCCAGTTTATGAGTAGACTATTTTTTTTCCGGAAAATCAGCAAGGATCTCAGCTATAAACTTATACAAGAAATCAAATTTGATGTCAAGAAATGTTTGAGATAATAGATAGTTTGAACTAAATGTACTATAGTTTATTAAATACTTTTATATATATTAACTTCATACATTGATAGCCCAAGAATTAATTGTTTCTTACAAGATATTTGCAACACATACAGGTAGTCCTCAACTTATGACCACAACTGAATTTAAATTAAAACAGCTGGAGAGTTTTCTCTTTTTGTTGCAAAAGCCCGAGAATAATAATGAACTGCAGAAAAGGGAAAAACTGAGATCTGCAGCCCAAACTTTCATATAATTTCATATAAACAAGCTTAATACCCGTGTTGTTTGGGAGGAAAATAAGGAGAAGAAAAGTCTGCCTCTGCCTACCAGCATCCATCCATATTCATCTGGCTAGCATCCTGTCAGTGTGTGAGAGTGTTAAGGGCTGTTTGGAAAGTGAAGCAGTATTTGCTGTGTGAGCAAGAAGGATATAGCAAGGAGCCTGGGTGTGGCTTAGCTCAATTGTTCTGGACTAAAGCTGCTTGTTGCTCTGAAACTGAAACTGAAATTGAAACTCATCTCCTTTGATTGTGTTTTGCAGGTGGGCAGTGGGAGTAGAACTCCTTAACATCAGAGCGTGTTAATAATATACGAAATACTAATGCTCTGATGGTCATTTTGAAAAAGCCTTTCTTAGTGAGCACCTAGAAGCCAAGAGGAACATACATGCCAAATTTCAAGTTTGTAGGCTTTATGGATCTAGAGATATTGTAGTGACGCATGAGTGGTATTTCACTTTTATATATATAGAAAATTCAGATCCCACTCATTAGAACATAATTCTGAATGATGAAAGACTGTGGTCTTTTACTCTTCATAATGATTACTATCTTATTTATTTCACCATCTTTTCTTAGTTGTAATAGAAACAGCAGAAACATTTTTCACAAGCAATCCTATGATATTTACTAAAAGGACAGTTTAATTTGACTTTTTCCCAAGAGTAATATTGTAACATGTTTGTAAGAATTTAAATTATTACCTTAGGCCTTTTGCATCTTGACCTGCAACTCTAGCTAGCCACTTTTTTCTTAAATGACAAATCAAAGTACCTTTAAAAGGTTGTGGTATTGTGAATAAAATCTCTGCATGTTTTCTACACCATTGCATTTGTTTTTTTGTTGAACAAGACAACTATTTTTAAAAAGGCCAGTATTGCAGAGTTTCTATTTGGCTATGACCTGAGTAAAAACAGAAGAATCACTCATTTTATTGTTTTAGCATTTGCAAGTCAAATTGTGGTTTAAGTGTTTAAGACTGTCCTCACGAATTCATGTAACTCTTGTGGAAATTATAAAATATTTTCTATAAATAGCAATAGCACTTAGACATATACCTCTTCACAGTGCTTTTACAGCCCTCTCTAAATGGTTTACAGAGTCAGCATATTTTCCCCAACAATCTGGGTCCTCATTTTACTGACATTAGAAGGCTGGAAGGCTGAGTCAGCCTTGAGCCTGGTGAGATTCAATCTCCCAAATTACAGGCAGCTGGCAGGAAGCAGAAGTAGCCTGCAGTACTGCATTCTAACCACTGTGCCACCAGGGCTCTTAAATAGTTCTAATATAGTTCTAGCTATATATTAATTAGAGAATACTCCTGCTTTTCCTTTTTTGCTGTTTTCTAAATGGATTAGTATCTTGTCTTCAAACCTTTTTGAAAAAGATCATGTAATTATTAAATTTTGTTATTTTTCCATTGTTATAGCTTCAAATTTGGGTTATTATTTCTGTCTAACTGCCACAATGGTGTAAATATGAGCTCTTAATTGACTAGGAAACCCATTTTTCACCTAGTCTAAAAAGGAATTCTTTATGTTGTTTTGATTAATACAATTTTATTATTTTCCTTTAAGAGTTTTTGCAGAATACAGATGTGTCTTGACAGATAACAATACCTAATTGGTTTTGCCTGACCTGAGATATTAAGCAGGTCTGTGTCTGATTATTACTTATAGAGATATCCAGAGAAACCCAGAGATGTAGAATAGATGGGAAATTTTTTAAGCATCTGAGCATAAGGCAATACAACTCACTTTTATTTTCCTACTAAGAAAGCTACACGGGCATGTCTCTGAAGTTATCAGGAGTCAAGCCTGATTTTATCTTTACAAAGACATACTATTTTGTAAGTTTGTGAGTGGGAGCAATTGGACAGGGCTGGCAAACTCACAGCCTATGGGCTGGATACATCACATGCTGGCCACACCCATGCCCAGTTTAGTGAAGGGGAAAAAGTCTTGATACATCATGTGATGCCACTGTGAGGTCGCGAGTTTGACACCCTTGATCTAAGATACGCATATTGCAGTAGTTGGATTAGCCAAGTAATATTCTATCTACAAATCAGATGTCTTTGTTGTATAAAAATTTAACCTGCTTATATTGGCCTCATATTTAAAAAAACAAATCACTATGACAATTTATGCCAATTTTATGAAGTAGAGATAATCCTCAACTAATAACCATTTATTTAATGACTGATCAAAGTTTTAAGGGCACTGAAAAAAGTGACTTATGATGAATTTTCACACTTATGATTGTTTCACCATCCCTATAGCCCAAATGATCAAACTTTGGGTGGTTGGCAACCAACA